TGAGCAAGTTTAACGTTGCCATAATGTGTAGATGAACCAATAAGCTTGTTAAACGACTGGAATTTCCCAGGATCATTAGGACCACTGTATTTAAACAGCACGGGACAAGTATACTTTCCTGATTTTTTCCTGAGTCTGACTAGGTGGCAGCTTGGTGATGGCATACCGCACGCTTGGAGACATGTAACTTTGATTTTGTCCAGAGACAACCGGCCAGGCAGATTGTATGCGAGGACGTTGTAGGAAGACATGATTCTTTTAGTCACCTCATTTGGTATAAAGTTTAGCATACGCTCAGACTTCAGCAGACTTTCCGGATTGTTATCGTGAGCTGGGTTACAAAGAGGCAGTAACTCCCTAATGGTATTTATATTTTCATTGAATTCCTTCGCAGAGTCTCCTAGAGAAATAAGGTCCAACCTATTTTGTTTAGCAGTTGCGTATATCTCTGATAGCAAGTCGGGCACAATTACTTCGGGGACATTGTTGGGGCTACGTGGAGCGCGTAGTGATCTACGCATCTTCTTAGCTTATTGGCCGAAGCTATTCTTACGCGTAAAGTACTCGTTATTAAGTTGTGCCATTGCTGCACACTTATCAGTATGGTTTGAATTAGAAGCTGAGCTAAATCGAAAACAGGTATATGCACAAATAGTATATAGAGTGGATATACAGACTAAGAACTACTACATGCAGGGTATGGAACTTTGTTGTTTATAAAAAACAATAAATAGACAAAAGTATTAAACCTTGAAGTACGGGCTATATATATTCCTGTTTATGGAGGAACATGCCAATTGTACAGGCATGGATAAGTTATTACATAAATTACACATATTTCGATGTATGGTGAATATACAGTTTGTCTGTTCTTTCTAACATTAGAGTCAGTCGGAACAGTCTGCTAAATAGTCTGTCTGTGAAACAAATAAAGAGATATAGAAACATTGTCTTCGCATTAACAAAAAACCCAGACGTCAGATGAATGTAATACAAATATCTGGGAAAAATAAAGCTTATGAACAGTATCCTTGACTTAAAGTTTGTTGATGTATTCTGTCGAGATCAGTGATATATTTATTCCATTTTCTTCAGCAGTCTTGTCGTAGTTTTATAACAGGGAAGAAATTTGATCGTGGATACGAAAACTAGATAAGGTCATGTTGGACTGTTTTACTGCATCGAATAGGGACGAGGTCGATTCTAGAACTATCCATTGGCGCCATTTGTGTCAGCATGACAGACTGTACACGTAAGTTGAGTAATACATTGAAAACTGTTTGAAAACCACTTGCTTCTTCATTTCAGATCACGAATACTCCTTGTACAGAATGTTTGCCAGCATCTTCAAATGGTAGCATGGGATCGCTCATGGAATTTGAGTGGTTATGAGTTAAATGGTCTGGAGTTCAGCTTCATTTCAGTTAAAATGTAGTGTGTTTCGACCTCGACCAATTATCCTACGAATTGATCCTGATTTATAAACCACAAAATAATGAACTTTTCTCTAAGTTCCTTTCGTGTGAGGTTGTTCTTTAGTTGTAAAAAGGATGAATCCAAACTTGATAACTGCTGGTGATATATCTGGGTAATTGGAAGCTGGGGTAGCAGCCAATATAAGTTATAGTTGAGGAGTGGTATAATATCCACTACAACATTCCAGAAATCGGTACGAATACATCCACGTTACGGGGAGAGATTGTAACGTCCGATCAGAATAGTGCGTGTTACATATGCAATGAGCCAGCCAACATCTGTGAACTTTTCAGTCAGTGGTTTTCGAACTTTAGTTCAGAAACAGGCAAAACACTGTCAAATATATGCTTGACTGCTGATGTTGTAAAACGTGGAGTACATTCATTGAAATTCTCCAGTTCACCTAGCTACAGAGGATAGAGGAACAAATGGCTTATGGAGAGGATGATCGCCTGAAGGTCACGCATTCACTTGGTGATTGGTATATTTTCCTTAGCGTAAACGTTGCGGCTAATACGCATTGCACGTCGCTGAGGCGGTCTTTGAAACGGGAATAATGAAATCAGGTAGACACTGTACTTCTCAGCTCAGAGGAAGAAATTAATATATGTGTGAATTTCATAGTTGTGATATGCATTGAATCCACTTACAAAGAGAAAATCACTGCGTAACTTATTCAAAGAAGTTTAAAGTTTGAAGACTTAGTCCTTTCTACTTGGTTGTAATGGATGGATAAGAGAGACAGTTGTTAAATTCTTGATTTTCGCGGAAGAGAAACTGTAATAGATAAATTGTAATTTCTACGATTCTTCAAATCTGTCGTGGAACTTATAAGCGACTAGCATATAAAATTTCACCAATTCTATGATTGTTCCCTCCTTTGTTCTGTGTGCCTAAGATAAGGGACTGTTTACTGGAGGTAGGGTCAGTCCACCTGATATGTGTACATCCTCAGATATTTTGCGAAACAGCCGGAGGTGGTCAAGGGAATGCAATCCCAATGTTTGCACGGAGACATCATATCCAGTAACCTCTGGCGGATCTGGTGTGATAAGAACTTCGCAGATTGGTCCGATACAACTACCAACTGAGGAGAGTTGAGCCAGATCTCAAGGATACAATGATTCGCGGATTTTCCGATGACTACAGCTCAGCTATAAACAATCTGCGTCTGTGACGTCTTTTACTGGATTTTCATAAAGTGTTGCTTAAAATTATTCCTTTTTCGTAATTGCAGGCAAACTACAAAACGAGCCATGTCATTACATTTATATGAGAAATGAGTTAACATACAACTGAGGGTCGACCGAAAGAAATGCCTTCTTGATATGGCCTAGGGTTCACGTGAAATGACACATGCCTACAAATTTGCGGGTGCATCTGTGTAAGGTATCGCATTTCACCAGCCCTTCTTCGACATGACTCAAAGTGACACTCCCATATTTCATGAATGCTCACTGCACGAATTTTACTTGTACCTGCAGAAATCCTACAACACAAACATTACTTTGCGGGGATATGGTTCTGCGTTACACCAGAAATCTTCGGCTTACAAGTCGATCACACTCTTTATAATATTCCCATTGCGGCCTTTAGCTGAAAAAGTAGTTTGACTGAGAAGCAGTTGCTTTCGGCAGGATTCGTCACTGCCACAGAGAGATATTGCAGTTTAGCTGGCGATTGAATGGGAGCTTTTAATTTATATAGGATGTACGCGGCAATGAATACACTATTAACTCACTGCGCTCAATCCCATATGCTCCAAGAATTTTCTTGCATAAAAACGAAACATTTGAGTATATAATGTGTCACTAACTGCATTTAACATGTAAATTGCATGTGTCTTCCTTTTCACTACTTCACATTTGCAAATACAACAAAAAAGGTTTATGAGACCACAAGTAGCACTTAGTATTAGTGGGGAGTATCGGCACTTAGTGAAGGTATTTTCGAAAACTGATGCGACGAGGTTAACTTTATTCGGATGTATACGCAACTATTAACGCAATAAAGAGATAATAAATTGTTATCACAAACTTTGTATTTATTCATTGGTGAATGTTATTACAGATATACGGAAAGATACCTTGAAGCCAACTATCTGGATCACGAGATGCAACGACTGCAAGCTTCACTGAGGATCTTAAAGCCTGTCAAACTATAGAACTTGACACTCGCACTTTTTAAGACTTGTAGCGGTAAATTATTCCCCAAAATTATTAACCACAGCAATCATAACTCAACATTGGATGCTGACCATCACTGTTTAAGTCGACTTGTTTAGCTGAAGGCTTACGGTCAAGCATCCCCGCCATTTGGTACTCCGTCGTGTCACGTGCGTGCACGATTACTAGCTAGCTAAGCATTCACCTCTACCCGCGATTTTGTCCCGAAATATAATACGTACTTTGGACGACAAAATCTGGTCTTTTGCTTTACCATTTGGTACTCGAAGAACGAACACTATAGAAGTTGTTGGTATAAGATCTTGCGTTAGTATAATCCGTACAACTCGCGAACGTCAATACCTGTGACCACCAAAGACCGATTCCTATGGAATAATTGCTTCTATGCAGATCGCTTTCTGCTTTCACTATATGTGTGGCTGCTGCTCTGCTTGTCTCATATCAACTGGATTCAGTCTGCTTATTACAGGCAAATTTGCTATGTGTCGAAGCTGACAGGGACTACAGTGGAAATCTAACATCATAATGGAGCAATTGAGATCTATATTCTGACCACCTAATATTCAATTTGCAGATAGACCAACAAAGTTGTTGTGCCATTGAGTAGGTATAGGCTCCCTCGTGGAAATCCTAGAAGGATAGCTCATCAGAGGGCAAGGACCCGGGTGCGCTCCCAATTCTTTTCCCTGCGGGTTTGCCGTTCCTGAGATTCCCTACCGGCAGATGTAGCTATGGCACCATCTGTGGACGCCTTCAAGCGAAGGCTGGACAACCATGCAGCGACACAAGGACTTCATCCAAATGGCCTATCCCCTTAAAATCGCATACACCATTCAAAGGTAGACAATTAAACTGGTCGATTTACTTCTTCACATTCTCTTCAGTCTTACTCTCCTGACAGCTTTAACTACTTCTATTATTATTATTATTGTTATTACTGGTATATATATATACCGGTTGACTGACTGTTGTTACGTTTTCTTATTCTTTTTCTCTCTGTTAGTCTGAATAACCTACACTAATTACATCTATTATTATTATGTCTTTTCTTTTGACTACGATACCGAAGGACCAACTGGTGAAAGGATCAACTCTATTCACAGTAGTAACAGTCTTAACACACTTCATACTACAAACCACATATAATTAATCCCTGCACTACTCCTTTTGGAGTCAATCAAAGCTACGGCAGTCGAGTGGCGGGACAAGCTACGCAGACGTTTACCGAAGATCAGGAACCTCTACCTCACAATCAAGAGGCGAGCACAAAGAAATCAAATTGGTTTATACTAGCTCGTAAAAACGATATTGGATATATTGGATATTGGATAGTTGACCCTGAGAAGCACTTTGCAGCAGCGGTAATTTGAAAGTGTTCTTCCCTGCTGCCTAAAAAGTACTTCAAGGTATGCCACTTTGAGAACTAACTACTGATCGGTTTTTTTCATGAAGACCCATGTTTCGTCTTGAAGCACTGTACAAGTTGTTTCATTTCGTGTATTTGTCTTCGGATGACGTAAGTGGTACCGAAATTTTTACACGACAGTGCATATTTAAATGTGAACGTTGCAGCACTGGTATTTGTTTTTATGCACGTCACTTGTTTGATGTAAATACACATCTAGTTTTCTTTGAGATGTCGCTTCATTTGTTTCACATATCGCCGGCTGGTTAGCAGAAATGTTCATTGTTGTATTAGGTGTGTTGGTAGAATGTTGGCTAAATTTTCCTTGTGATACTGAGTTATTGTGTTCCGAGTTTCTGCTTGTTTTTACTTTATCTTAGCTGTAATTGGTATGCTTAGATTGGTTGTTCATAACTCAGTTCCAGTGTCCGTACAACACAGACAATTTTAAGCACAGGCCTATGAGTTACACATGTAACAATCAGTACTTATTGTATCATACTGCCGAGATGCGCCAGCTGAAGTAGGTGGGCCGAGGTTCAGACTCACAATACATTAGCTGAAGGTTAGTTGCTTAAGCCAGTGTGCTATTCGGCACTGCTATTTTGTACGGAAAATCCAGTCAGCTCAGTGTCTTTTCGGTATTTGCTTATCACAGGGAAAAATAATAATAATTATTATAAAAACGTTAGCTCAGGATGTAATAGGGTAAGGTTAAACTCTAAGCACAACTAACTACCAATCAGTAAATGACGTCAGACGTAGCAATCACGTAAAGGAGGCATTTTTATCTATGGAATACATATATTTATGCAAACGCATAAGAACTGTATACAAGTGTTACAAAGGATATCTTCCTCTCAAATGTGATAGAAATAGCTCTCTGTCTCAGGTTGGAATATCAACTGAGTGTTATTCCATTGTGCGTAAGATTTATTTTGATAAAGATTCTAGTGTTGTGCAGTGATATATACTGAGAAATAAATGGTCCTCTAAACATCATCAGTAAATATTACTGTATAATATTGTGAGACTTTATCAAAACAAATTTTACCTACAATGGAATTATACTCTACCACAGTGCACAAGTTCTACTCTTATGTCAACAGAGTAATTTAACCACATTCTATGCGTGTAACTATTAATGTCTTCTAACCCTGACAATAACCCTTTCCTGAACCTAACCCTAACGTGAAAATATCCCTAAACTAACTGTAATCTAACTCGAACCAACCCTAATGTCGCCTTTATTAGGTTAACCTAACCCCAATTTGTCCTTGGCTTAACTTAACACTTTCCCAAACCTAAGCTGAAACTTGTCAGTTATACCATTTAATGAGTTGCGGCTGGAGGTTTTTACAAGCACCAGTGGGGTTATTGTTTCGAGTCTAGTTCTACTGAACATTCGATATAGGCTATGCAGGCTGGTGACCAATTTTAGAAGTGTACATATTTCTCTCCATGTCTCCATTTAACCGTTTAAGTCAGTGAACTCATTTTCTCGTCATTCGAATCTGATTAGTTGATTTAGATTGCCTGAAAACCAATGTAATGTATTTTATGTATAGTGTACAAACTTTTAAGATGGTTACATGCTTTGTATTCACTTTGTATTCATATTTAGCTTCTATGTTTCTATTCTTCTTACCTAGTTTAACATGTTGCTTTTACTGTCTGTTCGTTTGTTTATTGCTTCAAGATGTATGTAGTGTTTGTGCTAATGTAGTTTTTTGTGTGTTAATATATGTCAGTCGATGTCTTATTTTATTAAACTTATCATTCATTTTGTTTCATACAGATGGATATATTTACTAGAACAGCTTCATTTACTCGTGCATTAGCCATTTCAGTTAGGTGCCAAAGTTTTGCGAGTTCTATGGCTAACAAGCAAAACAAGCATAAAATTGTCATTGTCGGTGGTGGTGCAGGCGGTTGTGCAATGGCTAGTCGCATGTGCAATCATGTAGATGAAAATCAAGTCGCTGTTATTGAACCATCTAAAGTAAGTGCTTTTTATTTTAGAGAAAGACCTACAAGAAATGTGAAGGGATTTCTTAATCTTCTAGTTGTTGACCATTGTGAATGTGATATATATATATATATATATATACGGAGTTTTGTAGAGATTCGAGCTGATAATTTTACACGGAATATTTGGATCCGCTGTCTCTCAGGTCACTGACAAGATAATATTCACTACTACAATCATAGTAAGAGTAGAAATTGCCATATCTTACTTATTGTGAAGAGAGTAATTGACCGAGTTGGGTACAAAAAACGATGTGGGGCCGAAAGTAAATAGTTTACACATGACAGTAAAAATGTGATGGTGGTGGGTTAAATGACTGAATTTACGATTCAGGAAGTAACTTGTGGGAGCGTGGTGATCAGTCATCTGTTGATTTGTCGTCTTATAATTCATATATAGGCTGGGATACTGTCCGACCGAAAGCTGCTACCTTGACGTGGTGGTCGGGCTTGAACACTGCAATGACCCAACAAGCTATACTGGCTGGAACTTATGTTCCTGCAGGTCCTACCATGCCAGAAAGGTTGTTTGGATAGCAGTTAGACTAAAAGCAGTTACCCAATCCAACCCTATGATTTCAAATAAATCACAAAATATCATGCCGGATCGGTCGGGGCCCGGTTTAACAACGACCGCGCTTTCTGCTGCCGTGTCACAGGGCAGAAGTGATAAATACGCTACTGAGACACACCAAATTAAAAAGAACAAACAAAAACAGGCCGTGTGTGACCGGCCTCAAGCAGTTGTCCCCTGGGCTCTGCGGTCACGCAACCAACTTCCACGGTGTGGGCAGCCGGGAAGTAACAATCGCCCTCACAATCCGAAGTGCACGCGAAACCCCTCTAATCCTCGCTCATCTTTGTCTTCATCTTCATCTCTATTATCTTGCCTTCCTTCTACCAATGCAACTCCCCTACTTGTTGGCTCTTCACTTCCTCTTCACTCTGTGTGCACTGATAACGATGGAAGCCAAAAAGCCACCACCGATGGTCTCCTAAAACCACGCCACCAATTTTATATAGGAGCATTTAATGTTAGGACTCTCTGCCAAATAGGACAACAAGCATCACTAGCCAAGACTCTGGCATCCCGAGCCATTGATGTATGTTGTGTTTCAGAAACACGCATACAAGACCCAAGTGTGGTTACTCACCTAACCCCACCTGGCCAACAGGATGAATCTGCAAAATTCACCTTGAGGGTGTCAGGAGATGCGACGGCTAGCTCACGAGGATTAGCTGGTGTTGGGATAGCTTTAAGTACTAGAGCAGAAAAGACACTACTTGACTGGATCCCGGTAGATAGCCGAATGTGTGCTGTCCGTCTGAACGGATCAGTGAAAAGGAGAAAGGACTGCACTACCCGCCGATGCCTTTTCGTAATCTCCGCCTACGCCCCCACTGACTGCAGTTCGGATGAAACGAAGGATGAGTTCTACCAAAAGCTGTCTAGTTTGCTGCAAAAGGCTAGACGCTCAGATATAGTCGTCTTAGCTGGTGACTTTAATGCTCAAGTGGGGAAATTGTGTCAATCTGAGAAGAATGTCGGTGGCACGTACGGAATCCCGTGCCAGCGAACCGACAACGGTGACCGTCTCCTACAGTTCTGTTCAGATAATCATTTGTATCTTGTAAGCACTAACTTCAAACACAAGGAGAGACACTGTTTGACCTGGCGACCCCCATCATCAAATCAACGCTGGACACAAATAGACCACATAGCAATAAGCTATCGTTGGCGTGGGTCGGTAGGAGATTGTCGCTCCTTCTGGAACACGTGTGTAGATACCGACCACGCACTGGTCCGCGCTCGTGTGTGCTTACGACTGAACGGACGTAGGAAACAGCTGGCGGTAAACCCATCACGTCCCCAGCTCGACCAGGGAACTAAGTCCCTATTTGAGGAAGAACTAGCTAAACACATATCTGAGTTCGACAGCTGCGCTCACCCTGAAGAAGCCTGGAAGAATATTCAGTCAGCCATAGATACAGCTGTAAAAGCTGTGAATAAGGTAAATCCAAAGGTGAGTAAGAACCATTGGATTTCGACTGCCTCATCCGAACTGATAGATGCTAGAAGACTTATTCCGGCGAGCTCCGAATTCAATGAGGAGCGAAAGCTGCACAAAAAGAAACTTACGAAAAGTCTCCGCAAGGACCGTGAACAGTGGTGGTTGACAAAGGCGAAAGAGATGGAAAAAGCATCGGCGATAGGCAACACCAGACAACTTTTCAGGCTTATCAGGGAAACAGGTGGTAAAAGGCAAATGATAAGCGAAACAATCTCCGAGAAAAATGGCACCATAATTAGCTCCCAGGATAGACGTCTGGAGCGCTGGAAAGAACACTATGAGGAGCAGTTTAATTGGCCCACAGCCACACTTAACCTGCCGGACATCCAACACCTCCCTGAATGGGAGATAGACACAGGTCCTCCGTCCTTAACTGAGGTTACTAAAGCTGTCACCAATCTGAAGCTAGGCAAAGCAGCGGGACCTGATTTATTGACTCCAGAGGTATTTAAGTACGGAGGAGACAGTTTACTGTCTGCGTTAACGGTGGTCCTAGGCAGCGTCTGGGAATCAGAGGAAGTCCCATCGGGTTGGTGTAAGTCACTGATCATCCCGATATACAAGAAGGGGGACAAGTCGTCTTGTGATAATCACAGAGGGATTAGCTTGACTAATATAGTATCTAAAATCCTAGGCTCAATAATACTGCGTAGACTAAGTGGCGCTCGGGAGACACAAACACGGGAAAACCAGGCAGGTTTTAGGCCAGGTAGAGGGTGTATTGATCACATCTTCACCCTTCGACAGATTCTTGAACATAGGCATTCCTACCGGCGTCCGACAATCATTATATTTCTTGACCTAAAGGCGGCATTCGATTCTGTCGACCGGGAGGTTCTCTGGCGATGCTTGGCTGTAAAGGGAATGCCGAGAAAATACATTGCACTGATTAAGGCACTCTACTCGTACTCATGCAGCCAGGTGAGGGCTTATGGCGAGTTGTCATCTGAAGTGGTGACGACTAGTGGCGTCCGTCAAGGATGCCCATTATCCCCATTCCTATTCAATTTCATCATAGACGTACTAATGGACTTAACCTTATCACACTTCAGCGACTCAGGGATTGACTTGCTACCAGGGAATAATCTCGTTGACTTAGAATATGCAGACGATATAGTCCTTCTAGGCGAGGACTCTGACAAAATGCAGAGTCTACTGAACACCCTGAGCAACAATCTCCGTATGTTTGGCATGCGATTCGCCCCTGTAAAATGTAAGATGATGCTGCAGGATTGGACTTCATCGACCCCTAGATTAGAAATAGGAAGTGAAGTGGTAGAACACGTTGACCGCTTCAATTACTTGGGAAGTACCATCAGCCCCAACGGGTTGATCTCCGACGAAATTTCAGCACGAATACAGAGGGCTAGGTTCGCATTCGCCAGTTTTCGCCGTCTCTGGCGTAGACGCGATATCCGACTATCGACTAAAGGGCGTGTGTACTGCTCAACAGTCCGCTCCGTCCTCCTTTATGGCTGTGAGACCTGGCCATTGAGAGCAGAAGACATGAAAAGATTAGCTGTGTTCGATCATAGGTGTCTGCGTTCTATCTCCCGTGTGAAGTGGTATAATAAGGTGAGCAATATTGAGGTTAGGCGTCGAGTGCTAGGTAAGGCGGGGAAATCAATCGACGAAACGGTGAAATTACATCGACTGAGATGGTTAGGACATGTGCTACGTATGCCTAGTCATCGCCTTCCTCGACGGGCAATGTTAGCTGATATAGGGCCAGGCTGGAAAAGAGCTAGCGGCGGTCAAACGAAAACATGGCACCAATCAATGAAATCGACAACTGTTAATCTAAGCCACGTAGGAAGATGTAGACTTCCTGGTTGGGGCCCTCGGGATGGTAAAAACCAATGGTTGGAAACAATTGGTGACATGGCTCAAAATCGTTCCCAGTGGCGCAGATGCATCCACTCCTTGTGACTTATGATTTCCAATTAAACTGTTTTGTTCTCCGTTATTACTATTCCTTCGTCTCACACCTCTGTTTACTGTCTATATTATGCATTTCTTTTACTTTCTTCATTTGTTTTGCGTGCTACATAGATTGTGGCGACTTGAACTGACGCACATATGTGCAAAGTTCTATGTCGAAAACCGACCGACCTGGGATACTGTCCAAATACCTAGATTGAGGGAACTGCTGCACAAGCTTTTAATTTGAAGTCTGATCCACAAGGTAGCCGAGTGACATCAGGAGTTCCATTTCCATGGTTGACAGTGATCAATTGCTGGAGCTCGTGTGCACCATAGGTTTGGAATCAGGTTATCCCAAATCTCCTAGTTAGACTGTATGTTTGCCAGTTCGCTGGTAAGCGCCACAAGAGATCATTTTGGTGGAAATACTGGTTTAACCTAAGCTCTTCCGTATGAGGTGCTCCTGGCTCAGCATTGATTCTTAGTTGAAAAAGGAAAATATTTAGGATGTATAAAACCCTAGTTTATTAACTACAAGAACTTTGAAGAAATAACATGTACAAACTGTACACTTGTTTCAGAAACATATTCACATGTGAAATTCCACCTTTCATTTATTATTATTTATTATTATTTTATTCCTTTACGTTCCCAGTGGAACATCGGGCTTCAAGCTAGAGGCTTGGAGTTTCGGTAGCAGTGGTATTTATGTTTACGGGATGGAGTTGTTAGCTTCATATCCAACCGTCCATCTCTACCAGTTTTATTAGTGGTTTAGCGAGGTAAAGGAGTGCGTTGGCCGGGGGTCGAACCCCGAACTACACGCGTGGTTGGCGAGCATTCTACATCTGAGCCACCAACGAACTCACTCACCTTGCATCGAGGTCTTCGAAATCGTATTGTTTATCTGTGACTTATAGCTGATTGTATTGTTGCTGGTTGGCGGCGTGCTGTTGTTGTGTTGTTATTTCACAATTTCGCATTTGTTAAGACATTCAGTCATTAATTTGTTTAGAAGGCTTAAGGGAGTTTCGATTTAGAATCCAGTTGTCGTTATATTATGAATCAGTATAGTGTTATAGAGTACATATAGATCACGAGACACATAAATCTAGTTTTACGATACACTGTTATTAAATTTCACGGTATATATTAATTTCAAGACAGAAGAAACAATAAAAGCCATGTAGCACTGATCATCTATTTGATCTAATTGTTCAATGGTATTTCTTAAGTATTGCTTTTGTTTGATTGGCTGGAGGATTTCATCATGAGCTGACATTGGTTAGAGAACGATTGGAAAACTTGGGAGTACTGGACAGCTGTTTCGTCGGCCTAGTTTGGGACTCCTCGTCAGTACATACCCACCCCGCTGGCGTTCTAACCCAGGACCTTCTGGTTACAAGGCGAGCTCTGATTTTGGTCCATGACTTCAGCTAACTTGAAATCATCCAAGGGCATTTATACCTGACAACCTACTATTTAAATTCTATACTTATTTCATAGGCCTACTATACGCGTATGCATATTATGTTTTGAGCAGTGTTGTGAGAAATTTTCTCTCATTTTTTTTCAGATTCATTACTACCAACCATTGTTCACACTTGTTGGTGCCGGAATTAAACCCTTCAAAGAAACATATCGTGAAGTTGAAGATATTTTACCCAGAAAGGTAAAATTGTATCAAGACCAAATAACACGTATTGAACCAAAAGACTCTTATGTTGTACTTTCGAATGGAGATAAAGTAAGTGTTTTTGTGTGTGATACTGCCTCTATCAGTTTGAAATGTGAAAATATGGTTTTAAAAATATATTTTTTATTTTAGTATGTATACTTTACTCCCGACTATTTGTGTTTCCTGTCTCTTCTTATTGCTCAAGAGTGTAACCTTTCGGTCTTCCATTTTATTGCATCATATTACGGTAACTCTTCTTTGTCACGTGTTGTTGCACTTCGTATTTAATGTGTGTAGGGTCGACTTCCTTTCTCAGTTGTTTGTGGGATGATTAATTTTTTTTCCCTAGTAGGTTGTAGACTCTGTCTGTGTCTAAATCTTTATTGTTCGACGTTTCATTTAAATGTCAGGTTTCTAGAAAATCTCCTTCTATCCTCATGTTTCTCTATCTTGAGTTAACAATATTTTTCCAGTGGAAGTTGTGCTTGTGATTGTCAACATGTCTCTTGAGACGAAAGATATAGCATCGTGTCTCTTTGTTGCTAGGCAGTTGATGCTCATTGAGCGATCCAGTTACCGGATCCGTTGACGGAATTTCACGGACAAACATTGAAGTCGATTTTGTAAACTGACAACGGAGTTTTGTCTTACAAAGTAGAATTATTAGTGGTTTCATTGGTTTTTGTCACTTCGATTCTAAAAAAATGAAGTAAGTTGGTTGATGGCTTCTAAAATGTTTTTGATATAGGGTAAATTAATCCTCCTGTGGTTCGAGGTTCGAACCCCGACCAGTGTGCTCCTTTATTTGGCTAAGCTGGTAATATTGTAACATCAGAAGACAAGACACGGAAGCCTAGGTATATTCTTCATTAATCAAACAGCTGTTTATATATCTACAGTTTATATTCGTTAACCAATCACTGAGCGTGTGATTTCGGTTCACATCAAACGACATGAATTAAAATGTTCGAATACACATAGTATTCTGTTGCTAATGCCGTTTTGAACTGTGGTAGTATGTGAGAATCATATACCGTTGGCACAATATGATTGGTAAAAAGGGAAGGTTGGGTATGGGACTAGCCACCCCTAGCCCGTAAAAATAAACCCCAGTGTTACCGAAAGTTCAAAGCTCAAGCTTGACGCCCTATGTTCCACTAGGAACGTAAAAGAATAAAAAAATTCTCCTGCTGAGTTCTAGAAACTGGGTTGTTCCACATCATGGTGATAAGAATGCTTTGGTGAACTCACAAGGATGATCATTTACTGTGGAACACCTTCTCCTGATAGTTCTCTTCAAATTCTTTATAATGAGTGTGTATTGTAATGAGTTTCGCCTTTTGAAAGTAATCTAATATTACAAGATTTTTATGAGTTGTCAGGTGATTGCTATTGTGGTGTACAATTTGGTTAGAGTGGGTAACTTTTTTCTGAGGACACAACATAGTTGACTCTACTATGAAGTAGTTATGGTAAACAGATTTCAATATTCTATTATTCTTTCTCCTTTCTACATTTAATATATATTCCAATGTGTTTGATTGCTGAATTTCATAGTGTTTTCTATTCCATTGGACTTTGAGAATCACGAAAGTATTGTCGATATTATCTAATCCAAAATGTGTGCAGAGGAAAGCTATTCATTCACTAAAGCAGTGGTCATCCGATAGTCCATAAAAAGTCTTATATCATCTATTTCTTATATCACTCCACTGCTCTCATTGTTGATTTTATTTCGACATACTCTAACTTGAACCTATTCAGGACTCCTCCAGTATCCCCTCTTCTTCCTTTCTGTTAGTTTGTTTAGTCATGCGGTACAATACACACACACACACACACAAAACTAATCAGATGCATTGAGTGTACTGAATTTCTGTATTTTTGTTTTCTTTATTTTTAAAGTGAATTTTTGTTGTTGTTTTACTCTGTTTTATTTTCAAAGATATCATATGATTATCTCATTTTGGCTCTTGGCATGGATTTACGCTATGATAAAGTAAGTGAGGGTGTTAAGTGTTAGTTTGTTTGTTTTATGTCTCATCCTTTTTTCAATGAATTCTCGAAATTTTGTATTCACGCGACACGTTGCACACACACTTGTCGGCGTATTGATGTCACGTAGCATTGATAGAATGCGTGATACCGTCAACTCTGGCATAAACACGGGTGTATAGTCAGTCTCCTGGCATATGAAAAATATGTCCTAGGTGGTTGAATTCTTACCAGCTAAAGTGAAACTATAACATACTTATTATTTTGATCATGGATCAATATTGGTTAGCGAACCTTTTAAATTCAAGAAGTACTGGATGGCTGTTTCGTCCTAGTTTCAGACTCTTCGTCAGAATTCATAGACTATTGTATTGTGTCCCAGTGGCTGAGGGATCAACAAGCTCGCTTCGTAATCTGAAGATCCAGGTTTCGATCGCTGGTACGGCCATGAGTGCGTGCTGTTGAGGAGTCTCAAACTGGAACGAAACAACTGTCCAGTGATTCTCTGACTGATATCTGTCTGTGATCAGACTTGAAACCAATCAAATCCCTACAAACTAACACTTGAAACACGTTTATTGGTCTGGTCACTTGATTCCCAACCAGTAGGTCATTTGTCCGAACCATGTTTTATCAACGAAGTTCCGGAAGATAGTGTAGTTCAAAAAACACTTATAAGTCATATAGTCTTTGCAGTGATGCTCACCTATTGTGTGTGTGGTAACAACTGAATCCTTGAAACATCAATGTTGGACGGAGTCACCCCTTTTAGTACATCTGTAATGAAAGTAAGTAGAAGTAGTAACATTGGATTTCTCTTCTGGTGACAACTCCCCATCATTTATATTACATATCTGTGTCAGTTGCACTATGGCGTTTCGAGTAGTACACACTACACTTTCTAGGTACTCCTTTCATAATCAGACATTGTCACAGTATTTCTCCGCCTCCAGGTTAAGATGTATGACAAGTGCTGGACATTGTTCAGTGTACTGAAGTTTCAGGACTTGTCGTAAATTATGGAGAATCTAATCAATACATCCTTGTCCAGGCCTAGATGATTTTCTCAGTTGATGTCTTATTGAGCTCTTTCTTCTTAGTTTTCTTACAATCATGGAACATAAAGTCTTTGATACAATATTCAAACTGACTCCTCTGTGATTATCATATGGAGATTAGTATTGTTTCTTAAAAAAACTGAAATGGTCAGCGATCTTTAATCATTCAGTACTGTATTATGAAAAAATCACTCCTCACCCAGAAACTCGTTTCAGTCGTTAACGTGTGTTAACTTCACTCGGTGAAATCTTTTCTTCAGAATTCATCTTTGCTTCTCTACCAAGTTATTGTTGCTGTCGGTCGGTCGGTTTTCGACATAGAACTTTGCACATATGTGCGGCAGTTCAAGTCGCCACAATCCATGTAGCACGCAAAGCAAGAGAAGAAATGCATAATATAGACAGTAAACAGAGGTGTGAAGATGTGTAAGCGTAACTTCTTGTTGGTCGTGTTTTAACGTCAGTTTAAGTGACAGCATCATAGATTTAGTCAAAATTTTGGATAAAACTGCAGTCTTGGTAGCTGACTTGATTATAAAGAGAGTACCGCTTTCATTTTTTTGATTTACTTGAAATAATTTGGTGCCTATATTCTATCATTACGTAATATTTACGTTGATATACTTCTGGTACAAGTTATCAGTAATATGCTGTTTTACAGATTACAGGAGCTGAAGAAGCTTTGAAAACCGATCCCCGTGTCTGTTCAAATTATTCGCCTAATTATGTTGAAAAAACACTGAAAGCTTATCATGATTTCAAAGGTGGTAATGCTGTCTTTACACTGCCAGCTGGACCAATTAAATGCGCTGGTGCTCCGCAGAAAGTGATGTACCTATTTGAAGATTATCTGAAAAGAGTAAGTAATTTCTATCTCCTTTTCTCTTTGATATTCATGCAATCAGTGTGCTTCAGTTCGTGTGTATTTTTCCTGGCATCCTGAATAGATATTTTAATTATCTGATTTAATATCAAGGAAATAATATTAGTCGAGTAACCTCACTCATCATCAGTGGTGGTGGTGGGGGAAACAATAGGAAATCACTTCTTTCACTTATCTAGGCAGTATCATTTCAACTATTAGTGGCGAACTTGAGGCTGTCAGGGTCAGTCAGGATCGGAGAAGCAAGATAGATCTCTATTACGGCTGAAGTCAGTGTGAAAATCTACTAAACCCCTAACATAAGAAACGAAATCCAAATCTTTGACACTGATGTCAAATCAATCAGTGCTTCTACATGGTTCATAGACACTTGGTGGTGCATCATTAAGGGCATTTCCAACAAGCTTTGCAGACTTTTATCAATGAGTTAACTTTGCTCTATGCTAAAGATCAAATGGCTAGAAAGGAGATAAGCAACAAGGGATTCTGGCAATGAACTAACCAAGAACCTATTACAGAAATAGATATGCAGAAGGAAGTAGAGATTTATGGAACTGACAGTGACAAGATCGTTGAGTGGAACCCGAATGGGGGAAGCGATGAGTTGGGCGTGTGTCCGAGGGTAACATAAAGGAGATTATGTAAAGAAGGAATGAAAGCTTATGGGCAGTCATGGAGTCAGCTGAAAATGGACTCTGGAGGACAGAGTGGAATGAAGATGTGCTGATAAAAGCCCTTCGCTCCACTTGGAAGCAGTAGGAGAGTAATGATAATAATTATAATAGCATCTTCCTCTGGTGAGTATTATTTTTAGAAGCTTTTGCCATGAACTGATGTCAGGTGGAGAACCATTGTGATGACTAAAGGGATGGGAACAGGCTAATTCCCTTTTTGGATTTCAGATTATTTAGGATTACGTGTTTTCCATCTCATAAGGAATTAATCTCTGTACTATCCGGTAATCACAGTAAATTACGTCAATAATGATGATACTAGATAAACTGTGTGTGTAGAGTCAACTAAGTTGAGTGAATCTCACATTATATTCAGACGTTTCTCGACATGCTGACGGATATATCGAGATGTCATGTTGTGTTTCCTCTTGTATACAGTTAGATATTGGCAAAAAAGTTTGCTTTTGTGCTCCTAGAATGACAGTGAAAAAGTGAAGTTGTGTGAGTAAACGATTCCTAGAACTAGCAGTCAATGCATTCTTAATTTTATTTGGAAAACGAGTAAAGTTCTGTTAAGTTTGTACGGTTACTTTTTCCGGCAGTCGCCTCTTGCAGAAATGGAATAGTCGAATGTGAAGAGAAAACGATTAAATGCAGGTTTGGATTCTAGAATCATATCCGCAAGGTTCTTCAACCATTGATAATTGCGTGAAGTGGATGGTGCTGTTTAGGGAATTGATGAAAGTTAGAATTCGTAGATCATTGGATTACAACTCAGTAAGTGAATAGTCAATAGGCTCATCTCGTAACCATATGGCCTTGGGTTCGATCTCTAGGAGGTTGTCTTAAGTGCACACCACTGACTAATCCCGAGGTAGGATGAAACAGCTCAACCAGTGCTCCTTGGCTTTTACTACTTCATGGGGAAATCTACATTGAACCAGTCATTTACTTTCTAGTCTCAATACTACTGCATATTACTAGCAGAAAAGTAGAACAGCTATCGAAATCATTCTTTAGATCTGTGTCGGCAACGATGCCGTGTTCAATGTACCGGTTCTCAGCACATCACCGAAGTCAAGCTGTTTTGTTCCCGATCAGTTCCTTCATGGGTAACTGGATAGGAATAATCAGTGTTTCCCGGATTTGCACATAGGTCTTATTCGCTTAAACAACTGAACTCTCAGCCTATCTACCTCATGGGCTCAAATATCTCTCCACCTACTTCAGACGAGGTAAGTAACTAAGTAGTAGTATCATCAGCTTACAGCGTCGCCGGTAACTGAGTCTAAACAAACTGTATATGTATGACTCATTAATTTCATCACGGTTTCGAATCCTGTCCCTTCTTTCTGTCTCTTATTTACTAGACAATAAGTACTATCAATTTTAAGGTATCATTGTTATGGCCGATAATCGTGTGTACACAAACGGATGTGCGATCACTGGGTTACGTAGTCGAACAATTAAAAAAATAGTGCAAAATTATTAAGCTAGATTTCAATTCTGAAGTCAGAATTTGTTGCCATCATATGTTGACATTTTTTTTTTCATTAATTCTATTGATTGAAATTATGACATTGTGTTCTCAAGGTCAATGTGATGCTGTTTATGCACGTATTGTATATCGTGTTTCTTTTTTTGCTGATTAGATTACAGAAACTGTTTGGTGCCTATATAATATTTCGTACAACATTGGACATTGTTTTGATGAATATTTTTCTGATTAAAATTCCCATTAAAATTTACAAAAGAATGGACACGGAACAAAGATTACTCTTTTCGATAAGTTCATCATCAGGTTCTACAATTATATACACATTATAATGAATGAATGAATGAATTAGTCTTATAAACGACATTAATGTTTAAATAACATCAAATCAATAATATTGATAGATTACAGCTGAACAGCATCAACATAAAATAAACTGAATGTCAGAAGAATTAGGAAAGGTAATAGTACAAATTCATGAGTTTATAGTCTCTACTGAGGGCCAGGGCAGTAATAGGGGCTGGACTTGTTTCTTTTGAACACAGAGCACTGGTTGTTTGAGGCGAATTGCAATAGCCTCTGCTGTCTGGAGCATGCGGTGCTTCGAAGATTTTGGTAGTTTGTTAGGCACCCGGTATATTATAGAGAAGGATTCTTCTACGCTGCCTTTGTGACCGGTTTTCAGCAGATGGTCTAATATCGAGCTGTTAATAGTTTTAACTACACCTTTACTTAGCCATAGTGGGATATGTTCTCGAGCACGAAAAATCAAGTTCCTAGAGCAACGGCCAATGTAACTCGCTCCACAAGCGCAGTTGAATTGATGGATACAATTTGAAGTGGCTAGACTAGGTACCATCGGTCGTGTAGAGGATAATACGTGTAGTTCGCCAGCATTAAAAGTTCTTTGAACTGATTTCCGTAATTTCTTTGTAATTATCACGCTTGGTATATCGCCCATGAATTGTAGTCGTATATATAAAGGCTTCTTGTTTACAGACAGTGAGTAGTCCTTTTCCGCTTTCTTTGTCATGTGTTTCATGATAAATTTGTCAGGATAACCATTTTCGATCAAAATATCGTATACAATGCTTAATTCATCTTCAATTACTTCTTCTGAGCATATAGCTCTAACTCAGTGTGGCTGAGGGTCTTCACTAAATTTCTTTTGTAATGGATAGGAACGAAGCTGTGAAAGTGTGTATATTGTCCTGTCCAAGTGCTTTTTCTATGCAAATTTCTTTTTATGCTACCGTCTGGTTTTCTTGTAAGTAGGACATCCAGGAAGGTAATTCTATCTTGGGATTCCTCTTCGCATGTGAATTTCATAGCCGAATCGTCTCCTCCGGATCACATCCCATCATCTTTTCACCGAATAATGTTAAGAGCATTGTGAAGTTAATCTGTCCAGGTGCCTGAGAAAGCATGTCATTCAAATAATCATCGTTCGGTGATTTCCCCAATGAAATGAAAATATCCTCCAGGTCATGCTTGTCAATCACGCCATCTTTAGTGGAATCAATCATTAGGAATATTTTTCTGAGAAATAAAATAGATAAATATTTTCAAATAATAATTTGGTGGATGGTGACTATCAGGGGAATCCGGGATGCAGATTTCGTCCCATTCGGGACTTGTCGCCTAGATGTACCTGCATCCCCCAGTGAGTGATGGTATTCTAACCCACTATCCATTGTTTCAAACGCCAAAGGGTTATCTATTCACTGGATACATTCACAGGTACATCCAGATGACAAGTCCTGAACAGAACGAAGTGCGCATCCTGGATTCCACTGCTTGTCATCCGTCATCCACCGAATTATTTCAATTTAAATCCTCAGATATTGTTGAAGCATGCGCACAAGGAGCTGCCATGTCCACAGAACACCGAGCACTTCGGTGCAATCAGTCAACAGAAAAGTTCAAATGGAATTAATTTTTTAAATAATATTTCGTTTTATTTTCGGAGTAACAATAAGCATTTTGTAGTGCATTCAAACCAATTTAAGATTTATTGGTTTGAAAAACTCTGGGCATATGATATACATTGTTATAAAAAATGTTTTCGTATTTCTCAGTTTGTAATAGCTTTACCAATGTAATACTGAACCATAATTTAGAAAATGCCAACTATATTATGCCACTTTACTTACGTAAACACATGCTGTTTTGCTTATAAATCATTACGCTTACCAAATCCAACGATTTGCGCACGGTATGTTTGTTATCTCTACCAATTCATCCATTTGATAACGCAAAATTACTTTATATATATATATATATATATATATAAACTGAGACTAGCGATGGAATTCGGAATCCTCATTTCGTCCTATTTGGGACTCATCAACTGGATATACTTTAATTCCTAGTTAGTGATAATGTTCCTGCTGAGACTCGAAACCTGCATCCATCGTTCCAAACACCAAAAAAGCATTGTACATTAGGGCACCTGGTTTATGAAACGCTGAAACAATGTCCAGTGTTGTACGAAATATTATATAGGCACCAAACAGTTTCTGTAATCTTATCAGCAGAAAAAGAAACACGATATACAATACGTGCATAAACAGCATCACATTGACCTTGAGAACACAATGTCATAATTTCAATCAATAGAATATATGAAAAAAACGATATCAACATATGATGGCAACAGTTTCTGACTTTAGAAATAAAATCTAGCATAACAATTTTGCATAATTTTTTTAACTGTTCGACTACGTAACCCAGTGATCGCACATCCGTCTGTGTACACACGATTATCGGCCATAACAATGATACTTTGAAATTGATAGTAGTTATTG